ACACACACACACACACACACACACGTGTGTCTTATCTTGATATCCTCACACTATGCACAAACCTTAGCAACCCAACCAACAGAGGCAATGATTAATACTCTGTTTAAATTATTTTGCACAGAAATGCTTAACTCAGAGCGGTAAGCTAGACAAATACAAAGCAATTAAGCAGTTAAGACCCTAAATGATTGTGTCCTCCCCACATTTTTTTGAAACAAGTATAATTTATAATTCACACAAATGTCAGCAGCCTCCACATGTTTGTGTGAACTGTGAAGGTTGAAAAACTCAGCAATCAAAACAAGGTCTGTTTGTTTAATGAATCTGAACACAGATACACCCTCTACTGCTGAGACAACACTCTCAGAGGACACACTGTAACCATGTGTCAAAGAGTCAGAGTACACATATTATATATACAAATTAAATTACACAATTGTTGGCTGATTCCCTAACCAGAAAACTGTACATTGCTGATTAGCAGTGAACAATGCATGGATCCTGATGAAAATATCAGGGCACATTTAGCAGACTGATTTCTATGTGTCCTGATTGAATTTAAGGGCCCTTTATTCCCCCAATGAAATAAGCTGACAGCTGCATTCAGAAATGAAACGGATGAGAGCTGTAAGAGTGAACCAGGTAAGTCATTGTTTATGAAACCAGAACAAAGGCTAAAAGAATGTTGAGCCTAGAAACAAGTTCAGTGATAATTGTCTATGGGTGTGTCGCTATGAGTGACAAATTTCACATGACACATAGTTATATATTCTGTTGTTGAAGTAAAAATATTAATTATAGAAGCGTTAAGTTAAAAGTTTTTGATACTTTTTCTACATTCAAATGTGTTGTGTTAGTCCTGGATTCCCACAGGCTTCAGACTTAAAGAACTAAGTCAATAGCAACAACTTTGGGTGTGGAATGGGTGTTACGGTTCAACTGCTCTGTAATGTACTGACATGAGACACAATGTGTTTGTGTATGTTAGCATTAATTTGTGCCATCTAAAAGAAGACGGATGTGTTAAAAACAAGCTTCTGATCTTTGGAGGAGGAGGGATTAGAAAACAAAAGGGGAAGAAACAAGAATGCTGCTACCAACTGGTGCATTTACTGAATTTCAACATTTTTTCTGAAAAACCCCCAAAACTACACGTCCAACTGTTAGGCTTGTATTATGTAATTTTGTTGTATATAACAATGAGTTGAGCTCGGAGTTTCTTGAAAGGTGGTCTCTGTCTGGCATCGTATTGCCAGCAGCTGCTCATAATCCTGGAGATTTCCACGGGGCAGCCATGAGGAGCAGGCATACGGTATCCTGAAACACACCACACACAGTATCATTTCAAAATAATTATAAAATACTTTTAAAATCACTTTTAAGGCCCTGTCTGGTTTGGCACACCCTTATATCTCCGAGCTGCTCCAACCCATGACCAAACACGCTGCAAATCTATTGTCTGTCGAAGAGATCAGGCTTTGAATTTATAATCCAATCCACTCCTTTACACATTTGTACAAAGCTGCTTTCAAATCTGATTCAAATACTTTTATTTGGTTTTATTTATTTTATGGTGGTTATGATGATTGATTTCACTTTTGTCAGTGTTGTTCTTATAGATTGTCATTTCTTTCTCCCATGTCATTCGTTGTTTTGCTGTTTTATGTACAGCACTTTGTACCTTTTTTTTGAAAAGTACTATCTAAATGAAGTTATTATTATTATTATCAAATAGGTGTGGAGATCATAGAAGCAGACTGGAAATATTCCGTCATTGTCATTTTGTCATAAAATTGTTCAGAAAAGGTGTGAAACCAGTATGAAGGAACAGGGATTTCCTGAACACAAACACGTGGACAGTTTATTGTGAGCATGTACCTCTCTCCACCTCGTCTCGTGTCTGTTGGTTGGTCATGCTGGTGTAGGGCGACATTCCCATGGAGAAAGCTTCCCACAGTAAGACACCGAAGCTCCACACATCACTCTCTGTAGTATAGCGACCTGAACACACCAGTAGGGGGCAGCATTGACAAAGGCACAGACAGGTCTTTGTCAGGTTTTGATTGACCATTTGGCAGACAGAAAGAGAAGAAATATGTCTGGCTGTGACTGGAGGGCACTGGGAGTAGTGGTTTACCGTAGTTCAGAGCCTCGGGAGCCGTCCATTTGACAGGGATCTGTCGGAGGCCGCCCTCTGCAGAGTACACGCCATCGTCTTGCTGACGGGACATCCCAAAGTCACTGATCTTCACCACATTTTGATCAGCAACCAGACAGTTTCTAGCTGCCAGGTCCCTGAAAACAAAAAAAAAGACAAGAGGGAGAAGGAGTTTTCACAGAGGATGATTAAAAGATGGTGAAAGACACAAAACATGTTGCTGTGCTTGAAGAGAAACAGCAACCGAGCAGCCAGGAAAGGAGTTCTTGTCATGTCTCTGTTGTTGCATGTGAAGCAGTGTTGGCATGCAGCACTGTACAGGCTGAGCATCTGATCTGTCCCTGCTAGGCAAATCACACAGCGCCCCAGTAATGAGCCGGATGTCACGACCTCCTGTCTTCTCCTCCGGAGGACCAACAACCTACACCACTGTGGTGCTTCACCCGAGGCAGGGGGACTCATCAAGATAGATTTCACATCTGTGATCCTCAGTTCCACTCAGCAATGTGATGTCCCAAGACACACTGCAAAACACCCTGCAAAAATCCAACTCATATGTTGCATTTGCAGTTCATCCATCCATCCATCATAGACCACTTATCCTTTAAAGGTTGCCGGGGGGAGCTGCGGCCGAAGCTGCTTAGTTCCACATAATTTTTACTGTATATTTGGATCCCAGACTTTTCTCTTTTTTTCAATACAATGCTTTGTTTGTCGCCTACTTACAAAACCCCAGGTTTGATAATACTTTGAGATCTACAGTCTTTTGAGGCCATGTCCATGTAGCTCTGGGTTGGCTTGTGAAAAAAACTGTAAATAAAAACCTCACACTCACTTCTGCAAACAGCTATCATTTGTCTTCAGTCAACAGTTTGATTGTCACATCTACATCATGTGTGGAAATGTGTTTGGTCAAAGTGAAGTGAATGTTGGGGAAGTGACGTGGCTGTAACGCTCAGTCTGACAACAGTTTTATTATTCTGTTCTATGGAAACAAATATGTTCTGATGTACAACTATTCAACAGTAGATGTGTTTTGTGTTTTGTGTTAGTTTTGTTATATATTCTTTATCATTGTTCTGTATCTGTTCAATTCATAATAATATGTCATCGTTT